AGGTCTGTATGCCTTGGTATAGCAGTGGGCAGTCATTGATTCATGAGATCAAGCCTGTCCTCTGTGTGGACTGTCAAGAGACACTACATTCATTTATTAAATTTGAGGGGAGCACTGTGCCATGGCCCATATGTAGAGAGGTCAGGGAGCAAGTGCAAGGGTTGGCTCTCTCCTTCCATCATGTGGGGCCCAGGGATCGAACTCAGGTAGTCAGCCTTGGTGGCAAGCACCTTTACCAGCTGAGCCATCTTGCTGACCCCAAAATCTTTACTATTATTCATTCCATTTCCCAGGTCACAAAACTAAGGCTTTTAGAACTCAAATCACTTGTCTGGGTCCCTGTCAGGATTCAAACCCAGGGCCGCCAGGCTTCACCCAAGGGTACCAGGGATCTTTGTGACAGCATTTCCTGGGGAGGGGGCAGTGGAGTCTTGAGGTCACAAAGGTCTGGACTGGCTCACCCTTAGGTTAGCCTCTCAGGAGGATCAGGTGAGCATCTGCTGATATGACCAGAACCAAAGGGAGTTTGAGGAACAAGACGGGTGCCAAGTTCAAGACTCATTAACCAAGTGAGGACAGTCTGTGTGTTTGTCCCTGTCCCTCTGGAGGAGAAACTAGAGTTCACGGGAGCGCCGTTCCTTTTTTTTTTCCTGACAGTCCTGAGCATTGAACCTAGGATTTCTCACATGCTAGGAAAGTACCCAGCCACTGAGTTACAGCTTTAGGTCAAGGACGGTGTCTCGAGTAGCCCAGGCTGGCCTCCAACTCAGTATAAAGTCAAGGATGACCTTAATGTTATTTATTTATTTATTTATTTATTTATTTATTTATTTATTTATCTAATGTGCATGAATGTTTTGCCTGCATGTATGTGAGGGTACCATGTGAGTGCAATGCCTGCAGAGGCCAGAAGAGGGCATTGGATCCCCTGGAACCAGAGTTATAAAGACTGCTCTTAGCTGCAGTGTGGGTGATGGGCACAAATCCAGGTCCTCTGCAAGAGCAGTCAGTGCTCTTAACCATTGGGCCATCTCTCCCGCCCCCTAAATACAATCCCACCCTCTCTGCCTTCATAAATTAAGGGCAACATCACTGGCCGTTTGTTGTTGTTGTTGTTGTTGCTTGTTTGTTTTTACCATACTCACATTCCCCTGAAGTCCTGGTCACTGGGATTTCTCATCTGGGTATGTCAAAAAGCTTCCAGTTTCCTGGCCTTCTCCCCTATCCTCAGAATGTGCTATGTAACACAATAGCCAGTGGCAGCCTTTTGTTATGTAAATTACTTCTGATGCTCTCCTGCTGACAGAACTTCAAGCTCTCTCAGTGTGGAAGGAAGCCCTACTTGGTCTGATCTCTTTGTGCTCATCTCAATTCTGGACCTCTTAGATTGCTCTACCATAGCCAGGCAGACTCACTGTCCTGAGAGCTCCACATGAGTCTCCCTGGGAGTCCAAGAAGTCTGACACACCCTTCCCGGTTGTCTGTGTGACTCAGTCCCTCAGCTCCTTTTGGGCTCTGCTCTCCTAGGTTCCCCTCATGCCTATTAGCAGCAATTTTTCATCTGTCCCTTCTTCTTTACAATTTGGTCTAATTTCTTGTTACTTTTAAGTTAGCATCCAATTAACTTATTCATCTGACTTGTTATTTTCTTTCCAAATGTCAATGGGAGATACCCATCTGCTTAGTGCTCTTTTGAACCTGAATAGTGTTGGCAGGAAGTATGCATTCAAATAAATTCCATGAAAAAAAAAATCATTATTTAGTCAAATCACAGATGAATTGGGCATTTATTGAGTCCCTAGCTGTCACAGTAGACATTGAGTAGATAAATAATAATTCCTCCCATCTCCAAGGACATTTGCATCTTCTGTCATAATAGACAGGATCCTCACACTTGTGATAAACAAGAGACACAAAAAATGTTCTTAAGAATCCACTAGCGATTGCATGGACTAATGGAATTCTTCTTTTAAACCTTTAGGACAGTGTTGAAACAGTGGATAAATGGTGGCCACTTGCAGAAACCCAAAGCCATGAACATTACCACATGTGCCCATGAACATTACCACATGTGCTCTGTACAACAGCTATTATTACTTCAGTATAACTTCTAAGACAGTCTTCATTGGGATTAGTGTTGGAAGATGACTGAGTCAAAGAGATGCTTGTTAATTTTTCAATTCCTACAACTACGTGTTAATTAAAAGATGCTATAGTTTGATAGTGAAAACATTCTATAGACATACAGTTACTCACTTGCAACCAGTGGTTCCTCCTCTGATGGTCTGAAGTGAAAGGAAACCTTTTCCAAATCAAACAGGGCAACAAGTGTGTCTTCTAGCATGGCTTGTTCATCTGTCTACAAAGAAAGGAAAACAATCAATAGCATCATATAGTATAATGGGATGTGAGACCGCCTGACAGTAAAGAAATCTAAACCAAAACAGCTTTGTTTGTGCTTTATTTCATAAAAAATGTTCTTATCAACATATCCCTAAGAATTTTCTGTCCAGAATAAAATTAAGAAGTGCGACATTGCTACACTTTCCTGTGCAGATCTAAAGCTGTCCTTTTTGCTATTTAAATGTTGGTACACACAATTTTCAACTATTTTGTAGCTAGAGTCTAATCATATTGATTTCGTTTACAAATAAACACAGTCTATGCTGTTTGTTTTTGACTACTAAAATCTTAAAAAGTAACAGATGAAAAGCAAAACAACCTGTTTTAAAATTAAGACCATATTAAGTCACAGCCATTCTTTTTTATAATAATTTATTCAGTGTTCAATTGACTGCTTTAAAACTAAGATAAAAGCAATTTCTGTGTATGAATATATTTGTCTTCCCTAAAGCTTAGAGACAAAACCATTTTCACCTTAGTATCTTTTGGGGTCCTTAGTCTACAATGTTGTGAATATGGACTCCAATTTGTTTCAGTCATTTGTCTTATTTTATAATGCGATTTTTTTTTCAGATATGGTAACAAATTGAGTGTATGTCTCACCAACACCATCTTTTTGGTTCATGATTCTGGCCTTCTTAGTCTCAGTTAATATATTCTCTACAGAGCACTTAAGCTCATAATGACTGGACTATCTCTTAAGATAACACCTGTTTTCTTAGCAATGTAAATTACCCTATCAAACAAGTATAACCTGCTTCACACACTTCAACACATTGCTTGATGCTTATAACATGCTAAAGATTATATTTATTTATTTATCTATTATTTTTTAATGTATATGAGTATTTTGCCTACATGTATGTAAGTGCATCCACGTGCACAGTGCCTGTAAGGCTAGAGGAGGATGTTGGATCCTCTGGAACTAGAGTTTTGGACAGTTGTGAGCCTCTATGTGGGTGCTGGGAACAGAACTGGGGTCCTCTGTTAAGAGCAGCCAATGCTCTTAACTGCTGAGCCATCTCTTCAGCCCTATCTGCATCACATTTTGGGGAAGTAGCAGTTGATAAAACAGGTTATAAAAATTTTTTATTGTATGCAAATAATTAGAAATGCAGTCTCAGAGTACAAAAAGTCATCATGCAAACAAAAAGATTTAGAAAATGGTCACGTTTGCACCTTGGTGTTGTATTTAATACAGTAAATAGTATTTAATATATATGCACAATTTAATATGGTACCTACTGGGTGCTAGATAAATATTTATTACACTGCTACTTTTTAAAAGTCTTTATAAATTTGTGTGTGTACGAACATGTGTGTGTGTGCGTGTTATATGAATGCATGTGCACTATTGTGCAATATGCACACTTGTGTGCACTGGTGTGTGACCCTGGCAGTCAGAGGGGGATGCCCCGCTCCATTATCTTTTATCTTATACCCTTGAGACAGGATCTCCCACTGAACTCAGGGTCAGGCCAGCCAGCAAGATCCAGAGAACCTCATGTCTCCACCCTCTACAGATTTGGAGTTACAGGCGTGCACGCAGTCATGCTCAGCCTTTATTTTTATGTGGGTGCTGGAGATTCAAACTCAGGTCTTCATGCTTGCACAGCAAGCCCTCTTACCCACTGAGCCTTCTCCCTAGCCTCTTACACTCCTTTTGAAACAACAGAAAAGTGTTTTGAACATGGAGGGGAAAGGAAAAATCAGCATTTTTCCAATGTAGAGGAATACAGGGAAGAAGAAATGTTCCAAACATGTTAGCCTCCAAGCACTGCAATGTGAGCCATGATGTCTTAGTAGATGTGACGGAACTAATGCTACTGGCTTTGCCCAGAGTTTTGGGAAACACAGGCCTGGGTGACTGTGGCTTCCAGAAAGCCATACGCCTAGGTAAATTCTGCGTTCTTGATACAGATGTTTCCCTGTTTGTTTTTTTCCTAGCAAACTATGAAAAAAAAAGTTTTGTTGAAATAAACAAGATTTTTTTTGACAAGGACATTTTTTAAAAGCACAGTCTCATTGAGATACATAATTCATAGACTATGACAATCACTCTTTCAAAATGATCAGCTCAGGGTCTTTAACAGAGAGCTGGGAAGGTTTTATCATCGTCTAATTTTAGGAAACTCATTAGCCAAAAAAGGAACAGCAACAGTTAGTTAGCATTCTTCCTTCACTGTCTCCCCCTCAGTTCTGTGCTCCACACAATCAGAGGTTTACTTTGTCTCTGAAATCTATCCATTTATCATGCTTCATCAAATGAAACAACGTCTGGTCTTTGGTGCCAGGTTGGTTTCCTTATCACAGTGCTTCCAAGATTCATGTATGTTTTGGAATTTATTAGCATCTCATTTCTCTCTATGACTGAATAAGATGTGACTATATTGAAACACAGCATTTCATTTATCCCATCATCAGCTGATGGACATGTAAGTTGCTAACAGCTACTATGAATAATCTAGCCAGGAATTATACCTGTGCATGTAAGTCTGGGTTTCCCTTGGGTATTATATAAGGCGTAGAATTTCTGGATAACACAGAAACTATGTTTAACATTTTGAGGAACTGCTAAGTTGTTTTCCAAAATGGTTGCATTGTTTTACATTCCTATAACTCATTTCTGAAGATTATATTTTCTTCCTGTCCTCACTGACACTTATTATCTGTCTTCTAGATTATAGCTATCCACACTAAATATGATATGCTTTTGCTTTGTTGTTTGAAATGCATTTTATTTTTTTTATTTTTTTAAATTTTTTAAATTAATTTTAATTTTTTTAACAAAGCATAGGGTAGAGGTTTATTTGTAGAAGAGTGGACACCCCACATTTTCGGCTGCACTGTAAAGTCCACACTCAAATACAGATCCTGTGACCTCCCGAGAGCTGCACAAAATTATGAGAGAGGTGCCTCTTGGTGTTCTCAGCTTATATATCCTTTGCTCCTCCCCCCACATGGGGGTGGGTAACTGACTCCCTCCTGGACTCCTTGATGAGAGTGGGAAGGAGGTGTGGCTATAGCTGGCCAACACAGTGGCTGGAGGACACTGCCACTTAACGCTCCACCCCTTCCTTCAGCTCTTACATTCTTTCAGTCAATCTCTTCTGCAAAAGTCCCTGAGCCTTAGAGAGGGTGGTAGGTGTGGAATGATCTTCTTCCCATTGTGGCAAGGCACTGAACTTTCAGGCCTCTGCATCATCTGTTTTCCATGGGCCATTGGCCAGTTTTAGTGGGATTCCATTCTAATAGTGACTGATATTGATCACCAATGTGCTTAATGGCCATTCTCCAAGAGTGACATCTATTCAAATACTTTCCCATTTTTAAATTAAGTCATTTGTTGTTGTTTTTCTTGTTGTTGTTTTATTTATTTTGACTTGGTTTTTAAAACTGCAGCGCTTTAAGGATTATTTTTATATATTCCAGATCTACGTCAGTCATTTATATGATTTATAAATATTTTCTCCTGTTCTTGAAGAATTCAATAGAAAATTAAGATCAAAGTAAAAATGGCAGCACTTGATAAGATAACTTAAGACCTGAAGTAAAGAGACTGGACTAGAAATGAAATCTCATTCAGTCACTGTTCATGCAACCAACAAATCCTGCCTGTGTATTATACTGGGTAAGTGATAATTTTTATTTGTTTTTTAAACATTTTTTCTTAAAGTGCCTTATTTCAAATTTACCAAATAAGAATCTGATTATCGTCATGGAGTGCACAGAATCCTTTCAAAGGAATTGACTTTTATTTTTCAACGTACACTGACATGAATACCCTTACCTTACCATTCCAGAATCTTCCATGGATGTGTAGTGTAGCAATCACTTTCTTACCCTCAATATCATGGAAGAAAAATGCTATTTTGATAAATTAATGCGTATAAACTGTTTTAAAATTGTGTTATTTGGTAGCTACCTTTTCTATGTGTACTTTAGCAGATGAAACAGGCTCTTGTGTTTAAAAATCATAATTCTACTTAATGAGGGCCTGAAATGTATATGTAAATGTATGTATTTGAGTCCTAGGATCTCATAAAAACTACAGAAAGTGTATGTGAAAAATTCCAAGCTCCTCATTGTTTTATTTCTCAGATATTTCAAGATGCTGTCTCTGTATCTTTAGCCATATGCATAAACATGGAAGATTCTGCTGCAATTGCTACAATGTTCTTACACCCAACAGAGAACACTCAATCAAAGGAAGGAAGTGAACTTACTTAGCACACCCACATTTTAAACAGCTTGTCAGACAGTAGCTGTCTATGAAGCACACTCCAGATTATCAGCCTGAATGGGAGCTCAGGTATCATGGAGGCTATTATTTCTGGACTGAGTGGAGGAAGAGCAGGTTTAAAAAGACCCTCTTTCCTCTAGTGAGCTTTTCCAGTCAATCGCAGGGATCTAAGAATTACTAAAATGTGGAGTCCTAGCCAGTTTTTAGCAGCCAAGGAAAAGAGATAAAATCAGGAAAGAAGGAATACATTCCATATTCTTATTAAAACTTGAATGACTATAGGAGACTATAAACATTCAAAGTAGCTGAATGACAATGGAAACAGTGGAGCAGAAAATGAGGGCGACAAGGTCAACTACTTCCGATTCGGAACATGTGACTCTATAGGTTTACAGCTGTCACAGACAATGGGTGTCACGTGATCCCTTACCAAGTTTGGTGACAGAAGTGACTGGAAGTTGAAAAGAACACCTGCGTTCGCAATCTGGTCCAGCCATCTTCTGCTGGCTTCCCAAGTCTCCATTTCACTTTCCTTGCTGTTGTCAAACATCTGGTTTAAGGCTGCCATGAGCTGCTCAGAGAAGGCACAGACAGTGGCCACCAGGCTCTGGCAGAAAACCATGTCTCTCCGGAGCTGGGTTTCACTGTCTGTGGTTGAAAAGGACATGAAGGAAGATTTCAAAACTGTTGCAGAGGGTGAATTATTGCAAATACCAACACCAGTGTTTCATTTTCTCACAAAATCAAGTCAAAGGGAAAGAGTGAAATTGAGTTCCATTAACATACACACACATTTTAGAAAATGGGCTTTTCAACAAGCATTGAACATCACAGTATGTTAGAAATGTTAAAATAATTCTCCTTGGATGGGGTGGAGTGCTATGACATGCTGTCATCTGGACATGACATGGCTGTTGCACTCATGAAGCTGCTGTGGTGATCCAGACAAGGCACGCACAAGATCAAGACAGTTAAAGAGTCCAGCATGGGGGGGAAGCTGAGGAGTTCCTGGCAGCTGATTGCTGTTGGAGGATCCAGAGTCACTTTTCTTCTGCTAGTAGGTTCTCCATAGCCCAGGAGAGGACCCATGCCCATGCACATGTGGGCAGCACTAATTGGAAACAGTGAGTTTAAAAAAAAAAAAAATCAATATTATAAAAGGAAGACGAAGTTGGAAGGGAGATGTAATGAGGGGTAGGGGAACTGAGCAGTAGATATGATCATGACATATCTTATATATGTATGAAAATTTCAAAGAATAAATAAAAATTTAAAATTCTCCTTCATTTAAATTGTGACTCTATTTTGCAATTAGTTACAAAACCTGAGGGAGGGGAAAAGGCTGTGAATATAGGTGTGGGTGTGGGTGTACATGCATATGTGTGTGTGTGCATGTGTCTTTTTGAGACAAGGTCTCCCTGTAGCCCCAGATGGCCTGGAACTGGTGCCAGGCTAGCCTCAATCACACAGAGATCCACCTGCTTCTGTCTTCTGAGTGCTGGGATTCAAAGTGTGCACCACCACATCCATGTTTATCTATATTTTACCTGATGAACACAATTTTTATTTGCTGTAAAGACTTGAAGATTAGCTTTTCAGTTTGGACAAACTGAAAACTTTTAATATTTTAGAAACTTACCTAAATATGAATGGACATGGAGAAAGAGCACTTCCTGTCCAATTATTTGTAGTGATAAGCAAATCTGCATCTCATAAATTAAGCTATTCAATCTCATGAGCTGTAAATATGTCTAAATTTATAAGACTATGGATTTGTATATTTTTCTGATGCAATTGATTTAATTTTAGTTAAATTGACTTTTATATGTTTAGAAGTACTATCCCACAATTGACTGGATTTTGGTTAACTGACTTTGAAGGTATGTTTGAACAGAATCTTCAGGGCTGGTTTTCCTAATAAAGACGAGGTAACCCGCAAGACTCACTTCTATTGGTGGCGGCATCAGTGCAAACTCCCTAGCACAGGTCAACTCCCTCATGTTTTACACAGTGAAAAATCATGTACAGTAGAAGAACATATGGCAAAAATAATCTTTTCCAAAGACTATACTGATTTTGGGGGGATCTTTTTGAGACAGGATCTCCCTGTAGCCCCAGCTGACCTGGAACTTGCTTTGCAGACCAGGCTGGCCTTGAACTCACAGAGCTCCACTTGCCTGTGTGTGCCACCATACCCAGCTAACACTGAATATTCTGAAGGCTTAAAGAACTTGTGGTATGAATGCATATATCAATATTAGTGTAAAAGATAAGAGATAAATGCTGCCCCTGTTCAGTATTGAGTCATATCTTATTGACAGACACAATTTTTAATTCGTGTGAACATCTATGTTTAATAACCATCAAAACCACATTTCTGATATTTTCAATGTTGGAAACATTCACTCTTGAAATTTTTATTATAAAATAGATTGTGAAAAATATGATCTTATATTGAAAATATTCCTTTATTTATTAAGTTGAGCTATATGAACATTCTACTTTGGTAGATGAAAATATTTGAATATGGTAACTCCATATGGTTTACCATACTAATTTAACAAACATATATATGTCAGACATCTCCCTTAAAGCATTCTGGACTGTGTGCACTGGGCTACTAGATGGAAAGAATGTTTTATAGCTAACTATAAAACATGAAAACTGGGAATAAACTTTATCCAACTTTCAAGAATAAAACAAAGAAAAACACCCATTTTAAGGTACACAAATTTTAACAGAGTAGACATTCAATAAATGTCCTTTGACATTCTTCCTTTGCTTTTCAGCTGTCCTAAAGCCTGGCAGAAATCCACCATGAATTTTTTTATAGTGGCAACCTATGAACAGATGCCTTTTCCCCAGGTTTGGATTCACCTGCTTTCTCTGATCACCATAAACAAACTTGACTGTTGACCCTAGCAGGAGGGGAGGGGCAGAGAGACTCAGTCATTCCTTCCATCTAACCAGCTGGCCTGAACTGTACATGGGGGAAGACAGAGGCAGCCATTTGGGGGGAGGTCACTTTCATCATCTTGGGCAGCCTCTGGGAAGTAACAGGGTCCCTGAAAGGATATAGAGGGGAGTCCATCCAGTCCACACTTCTGTAAGTAACTCCCTCATCCATTGCTCTGTTAGGAAGCCCAAATAAACTCATAGGGATTTTCCAAATTGAGTTTTGGGGAATTTGTATCTCCTGTCTTTGAGACCATGGGAGGAGGGGTGGCACTCCGCACAAGTCTCCCAGAAAGAATTTTGGGGACACTGTTGTTTTTTGAGACAGTGTCTCCCTGCAGCCCCAGCTGGCCTGGAATTTGCTGTGTAGGCCAGGCTAGCCATGATCTCACAAAGATCTGCCTACCTCTGCATCTTGAGTTCTGGAATTAAAGGCATGGGTCATCACATCTGGCCTTCATTAGTCTTTTTTATTCATTAATCTTTCTAATACACAAAAAGTATAATTCTGCCCAAGAAAACTTGTTTTTGTTCATTAATTCACTTTTCACATTGAAAGTCTTATGGGAATAAAACCTCACATCAGTTACTGGAGGTAGGAAAATCCAAGTTGGAGGTTAGATCACCTTTCTACCCATAGTAAAATAACATAGGTAGATATACAAGAGGTCTTGAACTACAGTGTCACTTACATTTTAAATAATCATTTTTTATTTATTTTATTTTATTTATTATTTTTATTTTATGTGTATGCGTGTTATTGCCTGCGTGTAGGTAAGTGCACCCATGTCGTGAAATGCCCATTGAGGTCAGAAGAGGCTGTCGGATCCCCTGGGACTGGACTTGCAGACAGTTGTTAGCTGCCATGTAGGTGCTGAGATTCAAACCCAGGTCTTCTGCAAGAACAACCAGTGTTCTTAACCGCTGAGCCATCTCTCCAGCCCACAAACATATTTTAAAGACATATAATAAACATTCATAGCTTCATGAAGTGATATTCTGTCACTACTCCTGTTTTCAACAGAGAACAGATGACTTGCTTATGTATGTAAGCATCTCACCAATGAGATGGATGCCTATATTTGTCTGATGTAAGTAATTGATTTAATTTTAGTTTAAATTGGGCAGCACTAACTGGAAACAGTGAGTTTAACAAGCATCAAGGCAACTGGATAACATCTCCTCCCTTGATAGCTCTGACTTCTCAAAGCACTACTTCCCTCCTTTGCATTCCCCAACACAGCAACAATCTTCAGAGTTGTGGGAATATAACAAACCAATGAAGCCAGCCAGGACTACATGGGACCCTGTTCAACATACAAACACACACACCACCACCACCACCATCACTTACCACCACCACCACCACAACCAACAACAATAAAAGCATCTGATAAAACAGCCATTTGAATACTGTAAGGGGCTATGCATTCCAGGATCACTTCTGGAATTGGCAAAATTAAGTTTGAATTTTTAAACAGTCATCTACTATTTTATTCCTTTATTCAGTAAGGCCTAATCTAATGAGATTTCATGACATTCAAGATGTAAGTTGAATGAACATCATCTACTAGTGATTATTGATCTCCTACAACATATTCTTTTTCCTTTAAAACTGTGGAAAAAAAATAGTCCCAAACATCAGTTGTGAGGAGCCAAGGAAATTCATAAAAATGAGTCCATGAAACATGTTATTAGAAAAGCTCAATAATGTTTTTATTATTGTTACTATTACTCAACGGACAAGGCAAAAAGCCAATCAATCAATAGAAATCAGTCATTCATTTATAAACATTTTACAGAATTTCCAAATGTGGTAGATTGTAAACCTGTTTATAAATTCTTCCCCTTTCTAGAGCCATACCCTTGCAATGATTTTGAGACTCCTGCTATCAAAAAGAAAGCCTCAGGACAGATATGGCATAATGTCCCAGATACTCAGGAGGTTGAGGCAGGAGGATCGTTTCAGCCAAGGATTTCAAGGCCAGTCTGGGTTGCCTAATGAGACTGTGGCTGGTTGCTGTCTCCCCGGCTACACTGTGGCCTACTACCAAGTGAGCAGGTAATGTTGATCTCTTATACACTCCCACTTTCTTCCTTAGAATCCCCCAAATCTACCACATGAGTGAGACCAGGCTAGCTTCATAGAAGACAGAACTATTGCCCAGTTATCCTTGCTGCCCCAGATAGCATCCAGCCAGTTGTCAACTATGTGACTGAGGCCATCATAGAACATCAGTACCAAGCCAAACTATCATCTGGCTACAGATCCATAGGAAAATCCAACCAAAATCAACTACACGCTAGGGAGATAGCTCAGTCAGTAAAATGCTTGTTTTACAAGCATGAGGACCTGAGTTCAATTCCCCAAACCCACATAAAAAGGCTGGGCTCAAGGAATGATTTGCAAAGTTGTCTTCTGGCCTCCACTCACATACATGTGCTCCTGAACATACTGGAACACAGACATACACGTACACACAAAAGAGAATCAACAAAATCTGGCATAGATCAGCAGATGAGCCCAGATGACATGAAGACCGCAAAACTGATGTTGGCTTAGGCCATAAACACTGGGAATATTTTAACATAACAAAAGCTAGCTGATATAACAGGTATTTAGCTTGTTTTTTCAGGCCTATAACCGTCTGAACTTAGTGTAATGGCAACTGTATCTGTACACACACTTGATGAGAAATAAATTAAAATAAATATGAGTCAGTCAACATAGCTGCATATTTCTGTATCTACAAGAATGGTTAGGTATTATTGAATTATTCTAATTAAATGGCATACTTTTTAGCTTTCCTAATCTTTAAGATCCAAGTTCATCTAAAGTCATTTTGAATACTATCTTGCCGAAACAAAATGTTTCATAGACTTTCCATTCTTTTCATTTCCTTCAAATCATCTTTTACACATTCATCTTTTCTTTTTCTTTTCTTTCTTTTTCTTTATTTTTTTTTTTTTTTGATACAGGGTCTTATGCATCACAGATTGGTCTAGAACTTGCTGTGAGCTTGAACTTTTGACCTTATTGCCTCTATTTCCTGAGTGCCAGGATTACAAGGGTGTGTCATTAGGACTAGTTTTAAGTCATGCTGGGGATGTAATGCAAGTACTCTACCAACTGGCCTATATCCTTAGCCCGTGATTCATTCTTAAAAGGCAAATTTTGAACACTTGTGTTAGTTTCTATTTTAGGCATTTGCTGATGATTAAAATACATACAGCCCCTATTTTAAGGAAGCTAACAGTCTACCATCTGTAGTTTAGAGTTTGATCAAATGTTTAATTATCCTTCAGTGTCACTTTCCATTTTTGATTATGTTGAGCTCCTACTGAAGGTATGGTAGAAGTGCTTTAGGATAAAATATGTAAGGCATCCACATAAGTCCTCGATCATAAACTGTCTGTGTTCACATAACAACGATTAATTTTACCACACTCTCTTTTTTTTGTTTTTGCCTTTTAAAGTCATGATATTGCTGTGCAACCCAGACTACCGTCGACCTCGCTGTGTAGCCCAGGTTGCTCTTGGACTTGTGATGCCCACCTCGGATTGCATGCATGTACTCACAAGTCAAGCTTTCTCCTTCTCCTTTTTAATGATACTCTACTTAAGTATATGTTAATATATTTTCATGTCTTTTAATATTTTGGGTTATCATTTTTATTTTATGCATATGAGTGTATTGCTAGCATGTAGGTAGGTGTACCTGTGTCATGCAGTGCTCTTGGAGGTCAGAAGAGGGCACTGGATCCCCTGGAACTAAAGTTACTGATGGTTGTTAACCATCATGTGGGTGCTGGGAATTGAGCCTGGGTCCTCAGCAAGAGAGGTCAATGCTCTTAACTGCTGCTGAACCATCTCTCCAGTCCAGTATCTTCATGTTTTATCTATAATCAAAATAAGTCCATGGTTCTGTGATCTTATTAAAACACTTAAATTGTTTTTTATTCTTTCCATGGCTTTAAGAGACAGTAAGTTGATTTATCTCTGTAAGTCACTGAGGGCATTTTTTCTATTATAAAATTTTAAAGATCCTGGGCCACATTACTTAAAATATTACAAACAATGTAAAATATTACCTGAATACTGAAGAAGAGCCAGCAGTATCCTACACTTTACCTCTGCAGAGAAGGAAAACGTGTTTGTTAATTATTCATGGCTTCTGTCACAAACATCACATTTTAACTTCGTACTAAAGGCATGATCCTATTCTATTAGGTGATTTTAAAAAAAAATTGCTTGCATTCTACTTTTGCCCATCTATTTAGAGAAATGTTATCTATTCCTCAAGACCCTAAAATGTCTTTCAACTCTGAATCACACAGTGTGTGGAACACCATTCAAATTGTGCCAAATTCTAAGTTATCGCTTTAAAAGCCTACGTGGTAATCTCCAAATTACTTATTACATTGTTTGTGCCAATGTACTGTAAATCGTTACTACTATTATCCTAATTTCTAAAGAAGTTACATGTATATATGTGAATGTACTCTTCCATTCCACATCTCATTCCACACAGGGCCAGTCACAGATATTTCACAAATGGTCATTAATGTTATGCTCCATGCTATGTGTCCATCTCCTTCCAACTGGTAAATAGTTCACTTGAATTAGACAAATTTTAAAAGTTCTGTACAGCTACTTCTATGTGCCCAAGATTATGGGATGGAAAAAAAGGCTCTGAAGCATCCTGTTCTAGATAGTTTTAGAGAGACAGAATGAACTGATCAGAAATGCAGAAAATACTTCCCAGGGTAGTAGAATCTTTACAAATGAGTCTGTAAGAACCAGAGGATTCTGCGGCAGGAAAGTACACCAAACCAAGAACCCATATGGTATGCACGAGCTCTGTGACACTCAAAAGTTAAAAAAGTATTTTCAGCCTCAACTACCTCATTCACAAGTGATAATGTCTACCTTATCTATTTTATAAGCCTGTGTAGGAAAAATAAGAGGGAGAACATAATAAAAGGCTTCAAAAGTTTTTTGAAAGTGCTGTATACACACAAAGTCTGCAATCGCTGTAATCTAGAGCAAGCTGGAGCTGACAGAGAATTCTACAAGAAAACACTTCACAAGAACTTAAAATTTAGATGGTAAAGGGAGGAGGAACATATGCTAACAGCGGGAAATAGTGGCAGCAAAGGAATGCATCAGAAAATGAATAGCAAATATCCAACAATCTAGCATGGAGTTTATTATGCCATTAAGAAACTAAGATTGGAATACAATTATGAAGTTCAAGTGAAAATGTTTATAACATCAGATTGATGAGTTTAGATTCATCTAAGAGAAAACTGCTAAAAAAGCTCTGGGGTAGAAAACTGAAACTGTGAATGAGATATTCTAAGAAAATGAATTTGATCATTGTGTATATAAATCAGACAACATGCGGACAGGGATCAAAAAACATCACATTACTAAGACAGAATAAAGAGGGGAAATGAAGAAATGTGTGTCAGAATGAGATGAGGCAAAAATAAAAAATAAAAAATAGGTGGTTGGGGAATAAAGGGAGATCTTAACAGGGGCACTTTTCTTTCCAAAGGGATAAAAGAGATGAAGATGTGTTCAGACTGCTGTGTGTAATTGTTTCCTCAGGATTGAAAATTCCTTCCTGGAGGAAGGATGGAAGTCCAGAATGTTCCTGAAATGCTCATGAAGTTTCAGGAACTAACTCAGCAAAAGTTATGACTCACAAGCTCCTCCCACTGGTTATATAAGCAGTAAACAGCTTCTGTGGGGAGTGGCTCTTAAGTGATTGAAGTGCCTGCAGGATGCTCAGGAAACTCATAGTGCCACAGCTTTCTTGAGCAACCATCCATGCAGAGGTGGGCTTTTTGGTGATGCAGCTTCCAAGCATCCCTCATCCTCCCGTTTTAAGCCCCTGACCCATGGGCCTGTAAATAATACCCATAACTCATTGGACACCAGGCCGATTGAGATTGAATTATTTGTTTTGTCTGTCATTGTTCTGTGGTGAATAGATATTTTTTGCTGATTTCTCCAGGAAGTCAAATAATGCAAATTTAATATGCATTTAAGGGGATGATAAACAAGTAAATAAGCTTAAATTAGCTGATAACATGAAAATATATTTACCTGACAGATTAAGCAGGAGACAGGCACAGCCTTGTGACACTTTAAAATCCATCAGTCCCCCACTGAGTCTGTTACCTTCAATTCAGCAGGGTATGTGAGTATGTAGTCATCTAACATTTGAATGTGCCTATGACAATCCTTCTTAAATCAAGGCCAGAGAATTATGATATTTTGATATCATAAGTGGTATGTTTTAAATCAGAGATTAGGATACATCAGAAATGGGATCATCTTATCCACATGTCTACAAACAAATTTGTAGCCAAATGGCATTTTGCTACATTTCCCCCCAAGATCTAATCATCTAGTAAATCACTTCCTACACAGAGACAATCTGGAAAGGAGAATGGACATTAGGCTGAGCAGAAGAAGGCAGAGATTAGCTTTGAGGTTACTTGAGGGCACGCCACATCACAAACAACTGATGTCCACTCTGTCCTGAGATGGTTCACTTGGCTGAAGCAGCAATGGTAAGTTAATCATTTTAAAAGACTCATTTAACATGCTGACAATGAGAATGCTCACTCGAAGAGTAATGGCACCTCAACTGAACTTAGAACAAGGGACAGAACTTAAATTTTGCTAGGAGCCCTTGTCACACCACTGACTATAAGATGCTTAGAATACACAGCCACACTAAACTAGCTACTGGACTCTCCTGACCAGGAGCAGCACCAATACTGACAACAGCAATCAGTCAATCAATCTGTCTAAGTAAAGTTATTTCTATGGCTTCAGATTGTGGCTTGAGATACAAAGAGTACAAAGACCTGACGAGATAAAAATGCTAGAATCAGTAAAATGAATGTCCTTTTATTTAAGGTTTTTTTTTTACCCATTAGAAATTTGTGATTTAACTATAAAGACAAAATTCTTGAAATAAAATGAGAAAAATGAAGTTTTAGGCAATCTATTTTGAATCAATACTACACTTATGTGAAAACCACATACATTTAAATCAATCTCTTTTTGTCATTAACAAGAAAAAAAAATAGAAGATGACGAGAACATCTACAAATTTACAACTTCTGGAGTACTGTGCTACTGACAGCTATGCTGAGAAAACATGGCTTCCACTCAGTAAAGCATGCGCTTTATCCCCCAAACTATCTTTAAATATTATTCATCTCTTTAGTATCCATTATTTGTGTTGTTTTAATTCAAAATTTTCATTAAATGTGATGCTACCCAGTGTCACAGGTAACCCTGGTATTAAGTCATAAAATAAAAATATGGCCAAGAAACTCAGTGATGAATAACAGAAGATTTCAGCATATAATAGAATCACTCTGATTTATTTGGGGGACTGCTCCACCTCTATGAACTTTCTCTCTACTGACCTCAATGTTCAAAGTGGCTATATTTGAGCATATTTCTATGCAGAGACTTAACATCACAGAATGACATTAACAAATGAAGAAACGAAGCCTCTAAAGAGGTAAGTTACTGACTCAGACTCTGTCAGTAAGGAAGTGCTATTTTCTGTCAGCAAATGTAAAATCTTCCTAATTCACCCTAAAAATTGAAGTGCTAGTGCTATGCTAGAGTGTTGCTGAACATTATTTATTACATCCAAGGGGTAAACAAATGGCTGAGAGCTAAAATTGTAAACACGGGCATGATGCTTGCTGGACCCGTTTCTCAGTCTCAGCACTGTCAACATTTTGGGCTAGGTGACTGTTTGGATGGACTGCCCGATGCACTGTAGAATGCTAAGCAGCAGCATTCTCTACCCACCAAGGGCCAGTAGAACACTCAGTACACTCACAACTGTGACCATCAAAACTATCTCCGGGCATTACAACCATTAGCCTCATTGGGAAATGAATTCCTGAATTAGAGAACTTTAGAATTACCCAGATTTCTCCTTTCATGTGCTCCATCATAATCATTTTAGACACACTCAGACTTTTCTACATAATACTACTGACCCCCAAAACACACACACAATCAGACTCAGTGGTGTTGTCCCTAGGTTTCTTTTTTAACCCTAACTTACAGGTTGCACCAATTATAGAATGCCATGTAAATAATGTCATGGTAGCCAATGGCCACCCAAGGTCAACACTACTGAAGAAGAAACTTAAACACTAATGATGCAACCTATGAAATTATTTTTTATTCCCATACAGATTCACAAGAGAATTTTTTAACTCCCCCCCCCAAAAAAAATTCAGCTTCAGGTACCTTTTGTTAATTCTTTAGAATTTTTCTCATGTGATTTTAAGTTAGAAAACATTAAGATGTTTATGTTTCATTTGTCTATGAATGAGCCACATTTATTCATTCAGAATGTTCTCCACAATGCACTCTGCACTGTTTAGATCCCTGGACAGAGGTTCTGCAAACCTCTTCCTTCTCTACCTCCTCCTCCCTCACCCACTTCGCTCAGTCCATTTTCTACTAAGTAAGGGGCACTGCACAGTGACGCATTCCTATCTTAGAGGCGTGGTGTGGCTGGACTTCGGTCTCATTGCTTTTTACATGATTGTTGCTGACACCAGGTCATGCTGTTTGCTCTTCATACTCACCTTCAACAAATTTTCTGATATTCTGAGCAAGAGCCCGGACGCTGCTGGGAAGATTCCAAGGATCTTGCTTGAGGTGAAGTCTTAACCTCTTTGGGCAACTGAGCTTTGCCTCAATTTCCTGTTGAAATTCTAAATAGATACAGAAAAACTCAAGTCTCAATCAATTCTGGTTAAGCACATTTGTTTCAGAATTTTTTTCTTTTTTCATTACCATTCTAGAATAATATCACAATGTAATTTCCTTAGTGAAGTTACAACAGAAAATCTGTTATATGTAAAAATCAAAGATAAATGTTATCTTCTTACAGAGAGTCCAACAAAGAAGCAAAATTAAATAAAAACTCCACTCTAAATGCCTAAAGGAGATGAGAGAGGGTAGCAGCTACATACCATGGTGCCTGGAGCTTCCGCTTGCCTGTTCACACTCCCAAGACCCCTTCCCCAACGTGGAATGTGCCCAGGCAAACATTGTTCTGCAGAAGCAACTTAAGACTATGTATATTTGTTTGTTTGCTTCCTTGCGAGGGGGCTCCCTGTAGCCCCAGGTGGCCTGGAAATAGCTATGTAGACTAGGCTGGCCTCCATCTCACAGAGATCCACCTGCCTCTGCCTTGCAAGTGCTGGGATTAAAGGCATATATCACCATGTTCAGCTTAAGACACATTTTTGTTTGGTCTGGCCCCTACAAGTATCATATACTTTAAACTTTCAAAGACATCTATAATTTCATGAAAGAAAGTACAATGCTCTTCACCATTTCACAATGATCACACAGAAGTAGGGTTTGGTGAATCACGAAACAAACAACTGCAATTTTCCTTCTCATGCAATATTTTATTCATGACTATTCTGTCAATTTCCTCTTGTTTCCTGGTATCTTCTAGCATTTCCTTCAAACATACCTTGCAGTCCTCGACCTGGTGTGAGATACTTGGTTTGCTCAAAAGCCCGTACAACAGCTTGACCTTTCAGGAGGTTGGTAATTGACTCCATCTATCAAGAAGAGATTTCTGAAGGTTACATATTTCTATAACATATATACCTAAGAGTGTGCCTTTTAAAAGATTTTTTTTAAAGAAATGATTGTTTTTGAAACCCCACAATGCTTGGGAAGCTTATCTTTAAGTAAATATTATAATCAACTCATTGTGTCACATGAACTTTTTTCCATTAACTTACAATATATTAAAATAAAATTACAAAATAGAAAGTGAAAGTTCCTAACTCACTAGAAAAAAACTAAAAGCAAAATCTTCAATGCTATTAATTTTGATGATGGTGAGGAAAGTGGTTTTTTTTTTTATGCAAAGTACTAACATGAGTGTGAGACAATCTTGTAGTTTTTGAAATTGGATCAAAGCAAGATGCCATGAAGAATTCTGACAATCCACAATAATCCAAGGATACCTCTCTGTGTGTGTGTAATTCTTTTTGAATTTTCATATGATTTTCTATCAGATACTTGGTATTCACAGTTACCCATTAGGCCACTTGCTGAAGGAAGGTCTGTTAAAGCCTGGGGAGGTGTACCCTCCCCCTTCAAGATCTCTGCTACATCTGAAAGATTTCTGATGTTTATTCTGGAAAAAATACCCATCACTGTGCCCTCATACCTGGCTGAAGAGCTGCTCCAGGCAAGTGTGTATCTTGTCCTGTTTATCATGAGAAATCCGAACACTCACAGGAAGTTCATCACCTATGCAAAAAAAACAAAAACCACCCAAAAACCTTCAGCACATCTTCAATACTCCAAAATATTTTCATATTTGATAAAACAAAAACACTTAAACATGAGCTTTGATCCCACATTCATTCCCAGGGTTAGAAAACGAATTCTACAGGTTTCACAGAGCCTGAAAGTCAGTCGATCAACCTCCTGAAACAGGGGACAGCAACACACGTCACAAATGCACACTGTGCTTCCTCCATTTCAAATGATTTGTTTATCTAAAGTCTGAAGAATTGAAACAAACTACATAGTTAAAAATTAAGATTTCTTCATTTGTTGAAAGTCTTTCTTCTTCACAGACACAAAATTATTATTTTTTGTCTTTTTTAGAAAGGGTCTCCTTGTAGCCCCAGCTGTTCTGGAACTCTGTTTAGATCAGTCTGTGTTTTTCTGATAACCCTTGGCCCCATTGCCAAACATAAGGCTCCCTCAAATGTACCTGTTGCCTAAAAAATTCCTCAGCCTGAAACTCCTTCCTATGCCTCCACCCAATCAACAATGCCTGATGCTCATTTCCAGTGTATGTATAATCCTTCATACCATAGAAAGATTATAAGCCATATATTACATAACACTTTGAAATTCACGCTCCTTAGAGTTGGGATTTGGAAACTAACTAAAAGGCATAAATGCAGCAATGGTGGCCACTGGGAATGATCATAGAGTTTGAAATGCATGTGGGTCAAAGAAATGACTCCCTCATGGGGTCTTTGACAGAACGAACATCCAACGCACACGTGCCACATACACACCTGAGTCCATTTCGTCACTGTGGAGGTAGTAACTGCACTGGCTGCTGCCGATGCTGGTGAAAGAGGTGATGGAATTCCTGTTGCTGTTGCAGTCGCTGCAAAGAAGGTATTGTACATTACTTTAAGATATGTTTGCCTGAGCTTGTCGTCAGGTGGAGGACAAGAGAGTGCAGTAGAGGGTAAGCATGAAGGAAGTCCAATGATGTACAAGAGGATGTCACAATGAAACTCATTATTTTATATGCTAAAATTAAAAAAATAAAAACACCCAAGTCCTCGTCTTATTTCTTATCACATTAATGTCACAGATAACATTCATTGGTGTTTCATATAGTTCTAAAATAGACAAGTTTGTCCAACTCAGTTTATCTCACTTTTTACAAAAATATGTATTTTAACTTCAAACATATTTCATATTTTCTTGTCATATAATTGACTCTTAAGCAAAGTTTTGAAAATATGTGGTAACAAAATCAGAAGTCAGCCCACATGACATTCTTCACAGTCTATTTAATAACAATGGTTAGATAATTTTCTACTAGAGGCCAAGTCTTGTTGATGATTTTTGTCTTTCATCATTCCTAATAGTTGAAATTATTCCTTACTGATGACACTTGGTGCTAGGGGGACCTTGCTCTCCATGGACAGCACAGCATGGATAAATGCTGGAAAGGAGGACTATCTCACAGAAGAGCATTTCCAGTGGTGGGTGACTAGGAGGCCAGGTCAGATTTCAGAAACAGTTCTATACATACATATTTTTTTTACCTCTCAGTGTAAGGAAAAAGGACTTATTTAACTTTAAATTTATATTTAAAATTTTTATCTTACCCTAGAGGGACACTGTGAAGGTAATTTTAATTATCTGATAACTAGGATGTGAGGTAGAAAGTATTTTAGGCATGTAATTTCCCACTGGAGAAAAACCACAGATCCCCTTTATGGAACATGCTGGTATCTTTTAAAAGCCAAAAGTAAATGAAATTGTAAATGCGGTCAATTCATTATGGAATCTCTAGGAATAATTAACTTTGATGTATTTGTTAAAATCCTCTTTGGAAAAATAAGAATTAGAATGAAGAGTGGTTAGTGAGAAATTATGGAACCAGACCCGATTGTGGTGAATTATGTACTATAACTCCAATGAACCCAGGCTTCTTTATATGAAAACCGGAGTTACTATCAGAATCTGACACCCCAGGCTATGGGGAGGATTATCTTAAACGCTTCAGCTAAAACTGTGCTTTAATGTTTTTTATTAGTTTGGGATACGTCTACTTGATGAGAAAAACTTCAACATAATATTTATGCAATACTTTTTCACTGTAAATTTCTATAAACAAGAATGACCAAGGTAGCTTTTGCCTTCAGTAAATACAAGTGAAACCAGAGATGCTAATGCTATACATGTGATGTATGTGGCTGGTTATGAAGATGCTCAGTGAAGATTCTGGTGACTAGGATTCAGGGAGAAGTACTTGCAGTGGGGTTCATCAGAGGAGCCAATGACTCACTCAGAGCCCAGTAGGAAGGGACACAGTTAAAAGGGAAAATGGTGTTGGCTGAATTGTGTTTTCCCAATATTCTTAAAATCTAACACACAGTATCTGAAAATGTAACCTACTTTAAAGATACAGTCTTTATAAGATGTGCTGGATAGCTTTAGTCATCTACTTGACATACCTGGGAAGAGGGCACATCAACTAGGGATTTTCTTCTATGGGACTGGCCTGTGGCCATGTCTGTGGGGCATTTTCCTGTTTCTTGAGTGATGTGGGAGAGCCCAGCCAATTGTAGGTGGTACCACCCATGGGCAGGTGGTCCTTTCTTGTATAAGAAAGCAGACTGAGCATTGACCAGGAGAGCAAGCCAGTAAACAACATTCCTCCGTGGTCTGTGCTTCAGCTCCTACCTCCAGGTTCCTGCCCTGCATTCCTGCCTTGACTTCTCTCAGTGATGGACTGTGGTGTAAGCCAAATAAACTCTTCCTTCCACAAGATGTTTTTGTTCAGTGTTTTATCAAAGTAATAGAAAGACAACTAGGACAAAGATCATTAAGATGAGTTGTTAATCCAATTTGATTTCTGTTTTATAAGAAGGGGGGAATTAGGGCCCCAAAACACCTAGAAATGTAAAGGGACATAAGGGAAAAATGATCATTTACCAGACTCTTCTTATAACTAGATTATATCTCAGAAGGAGCCAAGACAGTCAGCACCTTGGTACTCCAGAAGTGTATGGTGAACTCTGTTGTTGAAGCTAGCCAGTCTGTGGTGCTTTATGCCAACAGCCCTAACAAACTAATACAAAACACATGCCAGAGAGGAAACCAACACAAAGCTGGTCATGGAGGTATTCAGGTGAAATCAGACCCATTAGCTTGGATACAAAATTTAAAAAGAAAAGGAGAAACAGGGGGAAGAGGATTGCTATTCACTAGTTAATAAACCAATGATCAGAAACATATTTTGAACAATCACTAGTATACATATTATACAACACACTTATAGAACAAGTCTCCCAAATTAGGACCACATAGCCGGAGGAAAAAAATTTTTTTTTCCAAATAACTCAGATTATTAAGAAGACTAACTTAAAAGATACCCAATCCCACTTTAACAGGTGGTTATATTGAAATTACAATCAACAAAACTATCCATCAACATTATTTCAAGACCTCTATGTTTGCTGATGAAATGGGGCTGATAAATGACTTACCTGTAAGAGTCTCTGTTGCTGATGGTGTCATGACCGGAATCTTCTTGTTCATCTCCTGCTATGTTAAAACAGACACGTTTGCTGTTTCTCTCTCCCTTCTCGTCATTGTCTGTGGGTATTACGCTCTCGGCTGCCTTACGTTCCAGTTTAGGAGAATATGTTATTGAAGACAGAAGGCTGCAATGTGATATTTTTTTTAAAACATAAGTACGTCAGTTGTGAAACTGGCTAAAACAGATAACTATCTTATTTGTTGAGTATGATAGGCTTACAAATATTCCTAGAGTCTTTCTGTGTTTCATATCAGATAAGTATTCTCAAGTGGGAAAAACATGTCACAGAAAAGTTTGCTTTTAGCGCTCAGAAGTAACGGAACAGCACACAATTTAGAGCAGAAAGCTGTATTTAAATCCTGGTTCTGCCACGTAAGCCTTGTTATCAGAACAAAGCATGATATTTATATCACCGGTATTTATATGAAGGGAAGGTTTAGTGATTAGCCAATGTGGTTGCTTTGGGAATGCAATGGAGGCAATACACTCTGGTGCGTAACAGTTGTTACCTGTCTCCTCTTGCCATTAGTATCACTAGCATGACAGTGGAGTTCTCTCCTCTGAATTGAATCATTTCCTTCTGTGGGATAAGGAAGGCTCATAACACTCAGGAAGCCAATGAAACTTGCAAGGCTCAGGAAGCTCACAAAAGTGACAAATTCACAAGGTGCTTCACAGAAGTTATAAATGCAGCAAACAGCTGCTGGGAAGAGGAGACTGTCTACTGGAGCTGCCTGCCTGCAAGTTGTACAGGGAACTCCAGGGATGTAGCTACCTGAGTCATCACCAAATGCTAGGATGAGCCTTTCAATGATGCAGCTGTCTTTGAGTCATCCATACACCTATTACGTAACTCTCACACATGCACCTGTAAGTAACCCCAAACCAAGTCTTTTCTTAACCAAGATAAGCATTAGTGGAATCATTTCTTTGGTTTGTCACTGGTGTCATATTGAGGAAGAAGATACTTGTTCATGTCCCAAAAAAGTCATGCAACAAAGGATCACAAACACTAAAGATGCTTTAGTGTCCTCTGATGTTAAAAACTGAAGACCTACTGAACCCTGGCTCCAGTAATATCAATTTGACAGGGAGGCTATCATACTATCAGTCTCTTCACACTGCTCAAAAAGGCAGGATCCCTAGATTTACTGACTTTAATAAGACATTAAGTGGAATGCTATTCACTATAAAGACAAGAAGCAAGGGGCACTTGCACTGCCACTCTGGCCAGGATGAAATGTCACAAATCTGCCCAATCAAAGATCTCTTCAATTGGGTTCAAAGCTAAAATGCCACAGAAAGAATTCCTGTAAAACCTGAAGACCATGTAGCTGAGATTCTCTACTCATGGATGGAATGTTTGGCTGTGTAAAGCTTCTGTTCAGACTGTCTGACTCAAAATTAGACAAAGATGTACTTGGACTTTTATCAAACAGTACACTAAAAAACTTTAAAGATGAATTAAACCACATCTGAACCAAGAACCTAAATATGACTTCTCTAAGCCACAATCATGTTGACGTTTATTAAAGACCTATGACATTCAGTTCCAACCAACTCCACGTTATCTGGACACGGATTTCTTTCAAAGCAATGTAATGCTTCTTTTTGTTCTTTTAGGACAATGTCCATACCTCTTACACATATCTCACATGTCACATCAAACTCATGCTATGCCTTGAGGAAGTCCTTGGAGAGGGATTTTGCCAACTGAAAACATTTGTGGGACCATGTTTTGCTTTTGGTGTTTGTCATGCAATGATTTACAAAACATACAAAGTCTCTGCCCTTTGGGAGTGTCAGTTTCACTGGGAGAAAACAAGCTTTATAGTGCATCAGATGGTGACAGATATGAAGGAGAAAACTGAAGAAAAGAAAGCAAGGGCTGGGGCTGGGGTGTGGCTCCACAGTAAAGAACTTGCTTGCCTAGTACGTGACGGCCCCTGGGTTCATTCAAGAGCCACCATTTCAAATAATTTAGTTGGGGAACATCTCAGTGCAAGGTGATACTTGAATAACATTTTGACATTTTGTAATTTTTAGACAGCAGTGTAAATTGCAGGACTACATTCCATTCTTCATGCTCTGTGAATGTTTTCAGTAACTGAAAATGATGAATTATTTTAAAGACAGTTTTCCTAATGGAAAGATACTTTTTTATCTTACAAGACAGACTGTACTTATTCACTCCATCCACCCAAAAGAATAAAACTTTAGTGTAACTCCAATTACCCAAGCTCCATACCAAAGAGACAGATGAACTCTGACATGCAGGAGTTCTCATGTGCAGGGAGCCCTCTGTGCGTGTATATATTTTAAATCAGAAGTCATGTGGCTGAGCTTAAACAGTTTCCTCAAAGTAATAAAAATCATATTCACATTTTAAACAGCTGCACTGACCCTATGGGAATAAGTGTTTAGGCTTATGAAAAAATGAACCACAGAAAAATCACTTGCATAAAATTTCTAGATGCTAAGAAGCAACAATAAAGCATACAGTATTTTGTTTGTGTAGGGAAATTGTTTTTCCCTTTGGCTCATTTTGGACATACAGTTACTTATTGAAGGTCGAATTAAATTCTGAGCGGTATCCAATTCCGGACCAATCTCTTCCTCATTAAACACTGTTATAAAGATTTTTGCACATACTAACTGCATCTACCTGTGCTTTAAAATGCCTTCATTGTCATCATTTATAGAGTTCTTTAAAAAATGTGTTTAAAATATTTTGTTATTTTTATCTTTTCAGGTATGACTGTTTTTGCCTGCCTGTTTCTAAGTGCATCCATAGTACAATGCCTAGGGAGACCAGAAGAGGGGGATGGATCCTCTGGAACTGGAATTACAGGTAGTTTTTAGCAGCCATGTCGTGCTGGGAACTGAACTCTGATTCTCTGGAAAAGCAACCAGTGCTCTAAAACACTGAGCCATCTCTCCAGCTCTTATTAAGTTCTTTTAGTAGGCATTTTGCTAAAGATGGAACAGATAATACTTCATTTTTCCTAAAAATCACCTGGTAAAACAGGCATCATCTCCATTTTGGCAGTAGGGTGAGTGACACTGTCGCACACATATGCTTTGCACATTGAACAGAACTTACTGTCCCTGCCTATATCTTACACACTGGAGGGATAAAGTGGGTATGAGTGTACATACACTACTGGGAGACAATCTCCTACTCTTCTGAGGATGTGCATGCCATGTGACTTCCTTTAGCCGATGTAAGGTGACTGGATATGGTGTGGGAAGCATCTGGTAGAAGCATCTGGTAGAATTCCCTATGCTAGTGCAAGACTGCCTTATGTTTTCCCCTGCCATGACAACCAGAAGCGTTCCAAGTAAAGGGTCACCTGCCTGCTGCTCTGAGAGAAGACAATGTAGAGCAGCAACCCTGTGGCCCTAGAAGGACATGGAGAATGAGCAAAACAGAAACCTTTGCTGCTTTAACAACCTTTCAGACTCCTGGGAACAATGAGCAGATAAAACACAATGGTGTTTCTTGGAAACCAGATGTCTAGAGAAGATGGGCTTGAGTTTCTAACGAAGAGTAGCATCTGCTTTATCTCTAGGGATCTGAGTCTGACTCCGGAATGTCCAGGAGGCTGGCTGACCAAGCAGACCTCCTTAGGAGCAGAGTCCACCAATCAGAGCACCCTCATGAGGGACCTGAGTTGCCACTTTTCAGGGACAGGAAGAGGATAGAACTCAGTGAGCTTGAACTCAGTGAGATGAGTTGGGGACAGATCAGGCAGGAACTCACAGGCCATGAAAATCCACATTTGATACTACTGTTGGCTGACTGGGTCTGTGGGTTCCACATCCTTGGATTCAACCAAACAAGGATCAAAAATATTTCTAAAAAATAGCACCTGTTATTGCATATGTACAATTTTCCCTTGATTTTTTAAATTTTTATTTATTATTTTTATTTAATGTGCATGAGTGGATTTATTGCCTGCATGTATATAGGTGAACTTATGTAGAGCAATGCCTGCTGAGTTCAGAAGAGAACATTGGATTCCCCTGGAACTGGAGTTATGGACAGTTGTTAGCCACCATGTAGGTGCTGGGAATCAAACTCAGGTCCTCTGCAAGAGCAGTCAGTGCACCTAACCACTGAGCTAACCCTGTAGCCTGCAACTTTCCCTTGTTATTATTCCCTAAACAATACAGTATAACAACTATTTACTAAGCATTGGTGTTGTATTAAAAGTTATAAGTAATCTAGAGATTATTTACTGTATATGAAAGGATATATATGTTATAAACAAATATGCATTTCATCTAAGAATTTTGAGATTTTCATATCTTCAGAAGTTCTTAGGAGCAATCTCCCATGGATACTAAGTAACAAGCATAATTTAACTACAATTTAATGCTGTTTGACATGTTGAAGCATGTTACCAGTCCAATTCACCCCATCAGACCTTGATGGCATCTGCTGAAAGCAGAATGCATCAGAGAAGGCTTAACTTGGCAACTGTTTTGGTGACACTAGTGAGGAATGATAGTGCTCACACTAGAATGAGAGGTAGGGCCACATTCTGAATTAGAAATTACAGAAGCTGACGAGGTACTAGAAGTGGAAAGAAAAAGAGAACCAGAGGCAGATTCTGACTGAACTGAAAAGAGAGAGCAGCTTATTGGCAGGGAAGCCCTTGGGGAAATGGAGGGTTGAGGGGGGGAACTTTAGAAACATTTAAATTAGAGATAACTTGGGGGCAGCCCCAGTGCAATCACATAGGGACTACAAGGATGAAGTAAGTTGATGCATATAAAAATACAATGTGCCTCTCACAGGAGCACCTGGAATGGATGATTTCTGTGAAGCTGGGCCTATGTTCCCATTTACCAGCAAACTGCTTCAAAAATAATTCCACTACCTGTACCACCCTTCCCTTCTGCAAACCCAGGTCACTAACTGCCCTGCAATGCGGCCACTCAGTCTTGGGGTATCTGGCACTTACAAAATGGAGCTTGTCTTCACATTTCCTGTCCTCAATAACTCCTGTATTCTCCATGTGGTTTGTCCAGCAAGGACGCAGAAATGCTATGGGCTATCTATGAATTGTTTTTCCTCTTCCTTATAACCTATATACAAGTGTAATTAAAACAAAATAA